CATTTCCGATTTAAAATTTTAAACATATTTTCCCCCTCTTTGTAAAGCACCAGACTGAGTGACACAACAAATCTCTAAAAAATTAAAATTTTACTGAATGTAACACAGTTAAACATAGTTTTGAAGGTTATGATAATATCCTATTGATTATACCGATAAGCTACACTAGAATACAAACACTTTTTTTTATTGAATAGTATGGATTGGCTTAATGATGAAATATCATCATTAAATTATCAGATAAAATCAATCAAAAATCAAGTTATTCTTCTTTCTCATACTCGAAGAAAACCTTCAACACTATTTCAACAAGAACCTACGAATCCTATAAATACTACTTCATCATCTAGAAAAAATAAAACTCAAACAACAATTTCATCATCATCACCTTCTTCTTCGTCTACTTCGCGTCTCGTAATAAGAACTCCAAAAAATCAACGAAATATTTATATAATAAAATTACTTTCTACTGAACCAATTTTTGATGGATATCGAGAAGATTTAATTGATATATATGAAATAATCTTAACAACAACAATTGAATGTATTGCTGTAGTTATTGAAAAAAATTCAACTGTTAAAAATCTTTTTCTTAAATTATCTAATGGAACTATTGATTCATATTATATGAATAGAACTATATCATTAAAAGAAACATATTGGAAACTAACTGAATCTATCGTAAATTGGAATAATGCAAATAAACAACTTGAATATTATCGCCGATTTATTCCCGATAATAAAACAAATGAAATTATGATTAATGATCAACTTACAGCAATACAAAGTATGTTAAATAAAATAATTTATCATATAATAAGTTTTTCTCATTATATTGATTGACATATTCTTTCAAATATCACCTTTATTGTATTGTATTTCGTTTAATCAAACGAAAAAATCTATTAAAAACATATCAGAATAACCTTATAGTAAATGACACATAAGATGAAAATCTCACAATAACAATATTTATCTTTGATTATGATTCAATGACATTTATTAAAAATGATTAAACGTTAAAATAGCTGTTTAGAATTTTCTCTTTTTCATTTAATAAAATTTCATAAATATTGTCAATGTGTAAATGATTTATTATCTGCACATATGGTGAGAAATAATCGACATATGTCCACATATAATAAAATTTAATATTTAAATACTTTATCTCAATAGGAAAAGGAAACGGAACCTTGAAAATACTTCTTTATCATGAACGGAAGAAGAAATAAAAGAACTCTATACTTCTACTAATATTCAATTTATTTTATAAATAATTTAGATCGTCCAAAAATAGATGCATTTCATTTCTTTGACATGATGGGACCTGTTCTTCGTATTAAATATCATGTTGATTCATCCAGTCTTTCCTGTATATTAGAACAATTTTTTGATGATATATATAGTATGTATTTTATTACCAAGTACCTTATATTTTATTGATTTATTAAAGCTTGTGATGGTCGATTGATCTACCCTCATGAATTACAACTATTATCCGGTGAAAATAATCTCTTTGTGTTTTATGCTGTAATGATGGATGTAAGAATTTCTAAAATTTTTTTCTATAAAATATTCTTTATTTTTTTGATCTAGACAACAATAGATAAACAAATATATCCTCTTGAAACAAATAATCGTATAAGACAGGGAGATCAAATTTTTTATCTTTTCAATAATCATCCACAATTTAGTTCATTATCAGCATTATCATGTCCAGGTTGTGTTCATCCGGATCAACCTTATCTATTTAATAATCCAGAACAAGCTGAACAACAACAACAAGTTGATAGGTATGAAATGTGTTTGTTTTTATTTCGTGAGATAATCTTTTTCTGTTATTTAGTGGAGTTATTGAATCATCACCTATCATTCAAATTCAACAAAATCTCTTAATTATAAATATACAAAATTTTATTGTTTATGCTATTGCTACAAGTCTAGGATTATATGTCTTATTTGCTATTTTTCTAAATCATACGCAAAAATCAACAACATGTTTAACTAAAAAACAATCAGTATCATCACGTCGAGGACGATAACTCGAAAAGAATTTTATTTTTATTTGAAATAGCAAAAAAGGAAAAAAGAAAGAAAGAAAGAAAAACACAGATAATTTGTTTTATTTTAAATACGACTACTACTTAATTAAACTACGAGAGAGAAAAAATTTTTTTTTTATATAACTGTGATAAGAAATAATAAAAAAACAGATATATCTGTTCAATGAGCGGATATGAGGAAAAGAAAATCTTAGGAGCGAATATTATTTGTTGGAGCATGTCGTTCAACTAAAACATTATTATTTGGATAACGCGATCGATTTGTTCCACTCGATTGACGTTTATGAAATGTTACATGACGTTGTTGATTAGTCGTTGTAGGCTAAAACAAAACGAATAATTATTTTTTTTTTTGTATTAATAAAATGTAATACATACACGAATAGAACGTGCTTCTCCTGTACGATAAATTGTACTTGGTAAAGATTCTTTATAAACATGTGTTGGAAATGTCTGATGATATGATGATGAAGGTTTTAAACCATTTTCTTGATTACTCTCATCAGTAACTTGTTCATCAGTACTATTATGATCTTAGTTAAAAATAAGAGCAGATGATTTTCTTTTCTTTTTTAATCATTTATTTAAACTTACGATTACAACATCGTCGTTGTTGATCTTCAACTGTTGATGTTGTTGTTTCTAATTCATTTTCATTTTTAAGTAAAACAGACATCGCTTCCATATTTAAGGCACAAACTCCACGCATAAAAGCTTTTTTCATGGCTTCATCATGATCACCTTTATCAACTTTTAATCGAGCTATTTCTTCATTTGCATTTAATAATTCTAATTCTAATTGTTTATATTTTAATTCATATTCATTACCTAATTCAATCAAGACATTTTTAGCTTTTTTTTCACAAGCTAATTCAAAACGTTTCTTCCATCCTTGTTCAACTAAATGCTTCCAATTTGTTAATGCTTTCTAAAATATAACATTCAAATAATTAAAATTCTATAAAAATGAAACATACACGTTTCATTTTATCTTCATAAAATCGTTTAGCAAGTGTTAAGGCATATTGTTGTCGTTTTTTTTTCAATATGAACTATACGCCATTCATAATAACGACGGTAAGCAACAGTTTTATTATATAATAAATCTAATGCTTTATTAAGATTTTTTTCTGTTTGATCTTTTTGATCGATTGTATGTTCATAATGTGTTAACATTTCACGCATTGTTTTAATATCTTGATTTAAACGTATATATTCTTTTGCTTGACTAAAAAATAATTAAGAATAAACTTCTTTTCTTTTTTTTTGGGAATTTTAACTTACGCTTGTTTTTCACGTAAAGTAGTTTGTTGTGCTTCTTCAAGAAATTGTAATCGTAATTTGTCAAATTCAGTCTTTAAAAAAAGAAATAGAAACAAATAAATAATAATAAATCTAAAGATTCTTTTACCATTAAATTTTTTTTGAGATCTAAATACCAATGATCCATTTTCTCAGTTATAGGTTTTGATTCTAAATTATTTGACATGAATTCAGAATAACGAAGAAGATGGTGTACTATTGGATCATCACAGTCTCTTGGTGTTACTGAATTTTCAATATTTTGTTGTTCATTTAATGAACCTGTTGCTGCTGTACTAAGCAATTGTTGAAGTGATGGAATTTGTGATAACTGTTGTCGTTGAGTGTCTATAAGAAAGTATTATATAATCTTTTAAGATAATAAATCGAAATTTTCTTACCAATTACAGATAGTGACATGTCAGTTCGATGTGTCTCTGGACTACTTAAATCAATGAGATCTTCGACTTGAATTTCTAAAAACAAATAAAAACATATATACAATTTGAATGATTATAATCAAACTTTTTTTATTCGTAGGTCGTTGTCCAAGTCCAAGTGCTGCTTGATTCATTGTGACTTTTGTTGTAAGGCCATTCGTGGAAATAACAATAGCTCGTCGTAATAAATCATCATATTCATTCTGAATAAAAGTTAGAAAAATAAAAAGAATTTTATTCATTAGTTTTAATACATCGAAACACACAATGGCTAAGGTGAATATATAGAAAGCGATTAATATGTGAGTATAAAATAATAATTCACACTACAGCCAACCTGCAAGCGTGATGAAACAGCAGAACCAGGAGAATCAGGCGGTAATTCAGGTGGACCCGATGTAACTGACATGATTTTATTTATCTTAAAAAATCATCTATAATAATAAACAAATATATAATTGATCTTTTGTTTAATGTCAATTCTTTAACTATTGTAAATAAAATATAATATAACGTTACGTATAAAGACGAAGATTTTATTTATTTTGCAATAGTTCATATATAGATTGATTGATATTTAATCGACATTATTTATTATTAATGTGATAAGTATGATGAAGTTTTATATTAATAATTTGTTAAAACTAACAAAACATTTTTTAGATGTTGAAATAAGTCGATTAGAAAAAGATCTTTATAGTATCGGATTTCATAAAAAATATTGAATGAAGTCATAGAAAAATCAAGACAATAGCAATTCATTTATATCTGAACATGTACTTACTACCATTGGTAGTTGCTAGGTTACTAATATCAAAAATGATCGTAATGGTTTAGTTATATAAAAAGCTAATCATGATCAATTTATTAAGAAATTATTTATTTTTATTTAAGAAAAAAAAATAATTATGCAATTGTAATGAAGATTATTAATATTATATAGAACTATCATTTTTTTTGTAAAACTATTTATCAATTCTTTAATAACATTAAAGACATTATTTTAACAAATGATTTTCATTAAATTAAACAAGTTTTAATTTATTAAATGAATTCTCAATAGAGGTCGTCTTTATTATTTATATAATTGAAGGAGGATGTCTAGCAACATCTGGAACGAATGGATATTTCGAATTTTTTTTTTCTTTCGATCACATTGAGAGTGTTTTTTTATTTTGAAAACATTCTTTTTATTATGGCGCTTGCGGTACAACCAGTTACATCATCATCATCATCATTATCATCGGTTGTTTCATCAGTTTCAACTCGTTCATCACCATCTACTATACGACCAATGATAAATAATTCAAATCGATCTGTAAATACGAAATTTATTGTTGATTGGAACTCTCCATCTAAAACAACAGCATTGTCAAATAAAACAAAAACAACTGATGATAATTTACAAGATGCTTTTCGTCGATTTCGTGAACAACGAATGGTATGTATATATAAAATTAGATATTTTATCGTCGAATGAGCGTCCTTAGGCCATCTTTACCTGACAGTATTAGCAATTTTATATTTTCGAACTAACGCTGTATGGTAAGATGACATGTAGTTGCTCGATAATCAAACAAATTTAATAGAGCTTCATAAAATGTACTTACTTATATATTTGCTTGATGCATTGTACTGTTGAAGTTCGATTCATAAAAATGATGAATACTAGAAAAATGTTGCCTTTTTATACGAAATTTAATGTTGACCAACAAGTATCTCTCTCCCTCCCTTTCCTTCTTAGTTTAACGAAAGAAAAGGGCGTAATTTAAATGAATTATATATTGACGAAGGATTATCGTTGATAGGCACGAGTTTGTCCGCCCTATTTTAACGATTGGATCATTCATGTTCAATCTTTCGATTCTTTTTCTAATATATATATCCCTATATAAATAGAATAAATATAGGCAAATGACACGTGTAATTAGTTTGTCAATTAGGTGATGAACATTTATTTATATTTACACATATATACATAAGGATATCCTGTTTACAAAGATGTCACATCCGTATGTAGAGATATTTTCTTATATGTCTTTAATATTTGATATTTACTTTTGAAAATAAAAATAGAAATAGAAATATATATTTGTTTTTTTTTTATCACAGGAAGAAATGCGTATTCAACAACGTATAGAATCACGAAAGAAAAAGAAAATTCGACGATCTAATCCGCAACGAATGCGCCGTTTAAGATTAAAATTTGTTGAACAAGCTAAACGATATCTTGGAATACCTTATGCAAAAAAATATTTTGAACCTGGCAGTAAGAGAAAAACTAAATCATATGTATATTTATTTATTTATTTGTTTAGCATCTGAATATGAATCTAAATTATTTCTTGATTGTTGTGGACTTGTTCGACGTGTTATGTATGATCTAGCAAAAGATTTTGGATTTACTATTGGTCCATGGAATCAATCATATATGTATGATACATTACCAAAAACAATAACATCTCTATCTGATGTTAAACCTGGTGATCTTGTATTTATATCCGCTACTTATTACAATCCGAAGAGTGAGTAAGTGAAGATTTGGTTGTTCAATGAATATAATTAAATGGATTTTTTTCTTTTTCGTATTTTTATTAATAGTGAAAAAACAACGACATGATTTAACACATGTAGAAATAATGTTAGGTGAGGGAGAAAAAACAATTGGAGCACGATGGAATAATGGAAAAGTACAATTTTTTGATAGCTATAAATTTGTATCGAAAAGTTATCATTCACAAGTTTATACAATTAAATCACTTGATCCTTGGCTTAAAGGAATATGTAAAAGGTAAAAAATTTGCATCTTTGAATTTATTCGTTTCTAAAAGAAAAGAAAAGGTTAAAATATAGCACTAATATTTTCCTTAAGGAAAAAGGTCAAATTCCTGTATTTATCTCACTGTCAAAGAATTTTAATAGAAACAAATTCTAGAATTTTTCTTATCTGTAAATATCATTTATTATTGAAAAACAAAAGAAACTAGTTCGATATTTTTACTTCTAATCTTATTTGTTATGTAATAACGTTGTTACCCGAAAGAAATTAATAAGACTGATTATTTAGATGCATGATATACGTATATTGATCTTATCATTAAATGATTGTAGTTATAGATAATAATAGACATAAATGTATCATTAATCTGCAAATTCTGTATAATTTTTCCTTGAAAAACTTATCTGTACCCGTTAGCTAAATATATCTTCTAGATAAAAGTATAAAATGAAGTTCTCTATATCAGTGATTATTCTTCCAATTATCAATCGATGATCTTTGTATAATTAAAAAGACCTTTATTTTTATATTCAATAGCGGAAACATGTAAAAGATCTCAATGCACATCATTGTTAACAACGTAATGCATTATATTTATTTTCCATCAAATATAATAATATGAATTGTTAAATAAATACTATATAACGATATAATATTGTAAAGAATAAAAACATTAATTCTTATAATCAAATTGATGTACTTAGAAAATGTCCTTCATTCTAGTGATAATTATATTATTACTATAAAAGAGTTTTTTTTATTTATTATTCTCGTTTTCTCTATATTAATAAAAACAAATTTATTTTTATATATTTCAGTTGTTGTACGGAACATCCTTGGCGTCGACGACGATATAAAAAAGTGAATAAAAATTCGATTTTCTTTTCACGTGATCAATCAAATCGTGGTCATCATCATCGCTCACATAGTAGTAAACGAACATCTTGTTCATCAACATCATCAATAAATTCTACAAATAAAAACGCTGATGTACATCGAAAACGAAAACATCGAACAGCACGTTCAAAATCTCAAAAAAATACGAATTTAACTATATCATCTACTGAACAAATTACGACCAATTTAAATAATGAACAATTACCAGTATCTTCAACAATAGATATTGAATCAATTAGTGAAGATGATGATGATGATGAGGACGATTCAATTGATATTCTTGGTAATCAATTAACTAAATTGAATTGTCAAGGTGAAGAAGAAGAAGAATGTGATGATTCAGATTCTATGGATGATGCCTTAAATGCTGAACAATTCGATGATGATATTGAAAGTAGTATTGTTACAACAACTACAACCACTGTTCAGTCATAAATCAATCCGATATTTTATGTTTTTAATCAAATATAAGTTAATGAGTAGAAATCCATATTATATTTTATTGGTTATTTATCCAATTTATTTTTTTTTGTTCTATGTATTGATGATAATATTATAATCATTGTATTGAGAAAAGAATCTTAAATTTATAATAAAAATTTTAAATTATATATAATATTCCAGCTTGAAAATAAAGGATTTTAATAAGTAGTTTACCTAAAGATTTTTATATAAATTCGCATATGAAAAGATAAGTTGTTTCAAAATACTTTATCTTTTTTTTAATCACATAATATGCATTATATACTCCTGGTGTTATGATAGAGGAAACAGAGGTTTTCAAGGTTTTTTTTCCGCTGACTTGTATGGATTGTTGAATAAGAATAGAAACAGACGCATTCTATTATTAATTAGCATGTTATTTATGAGATTTTTTTTTGTCGTTTCAATAAGTTATCTTGATTTCCATATATGAAGAATCTCAAATCCAAGGGCAATAGAAAAACAATTTTTCATTGATTAAATAAAATAGTGCTTCTCCTTCTTTTTCCTTCTGTTGAATTACCCGTCTACATCTCTTGGGACATCTTTATTTTTTGTTGTTTTCTTTTTCATAAATCAGATTATTCAATTTAGACACAAAAACAAATGAGTTTTTTTTGTAGTTCGTCATTATGATCACATGTTAGAACTTATCGAAGCTTTTATAAACGTCGTTTGCCAAGATAATTTTTCTCTTATTTGATTATGAAAATATAGAACACATTAACATACGAGAGGCCCAGCACGATGCGATACAATATACCATTTTGCATTATTAACAGACCTACCCCTGACCTAATCAATCTTCTACTAAGTTGTTTAAGGCAATATATCACGCTAGAGAATGGAAAAAGATCTTTCTTCCGGTGCATTTATATATATATAGATATATATAGATGGATAGATAGATATATATATATATATATATACAATCAACATACTAAAAAACAGATATATCCTATCATTATCATCTGACAAGTACTAAATACTACTGTTACTTATTTTTTTTTGTCAAAGTTTGGTAAGATGACATATTATTGTTTAATAGGATTTTCTTAAAGTATATTTATTGTATATATAGCGTTTTTTTTTCTTCCAACTAAATAATATTAACAGAATTTTAGAATGACATATTATATTTAAATAATTTTCTTTATCGTTTCCTTTTTTTACAAAACAGAAAGTTTAAAAAGGAAATTAACTAATAAGAAAAAGAAAGGAAAAAAAAGGTCGTTTCTTTCAAGCATATAATATAAGAAAATTATTTAGAATTTTTCTTTTTTTTTTCATGTTCTATTTTAACCTTGAGCACGGCTAATACTTCTCATTTACTGACGTCAGAAAAATTACCGCATGTGTTATTAAATATTGCAAAAGTTCAAAATGCAGTTAAATATGAATCTTGTTCAAACAATCTGTGACTATTTTATTAGTAGTATGTCAACATTTCACACATTTTGTAAGAATACCTAAAAGAATAATAATAAGCATCTAGTTTTTAGAACATTCAATATTTTCTATATTTAAACAGATGTCCTATATTTTCTATTACTTTAATATTCTAGAAATAAGAAAAGAAAAAGAAGAGTATGTTAACAGCAACACCTTCACAACCAACGTCAGCATCTACGATGCTACATCGAACGTCAAGTAAACCGGATTTTATTTTGTATGTATATTCCAAAAACCATATGTTTGTTTACCCTGATGGATGCTCTTTTGCCTTTTTTTTTCTATAGAATGACAATTAATATATTGTAAAGTCTATACATTATTTTACTGCCTTTTCTTTTCTATTTTCCCTCGCGTCACATTCTTGAGCTAGTAGGCAAACTATTAAGCAGCTACTTAAGTAAATGCTTAGAGCATAGGATCATATTAGACAGAAAGAATAGCTATCTATCTATCTATTCTCGTTGACTTTTTTCTTCTTCTTTCTGCTCTCATTCTTTCTCTTTTTTCTTACTCATTTATTCCATCAATAAGACACAACATCAGACTTTCTTTTCTTCGTTTTTTTTAAACCTATTTCGATACATACCATTATGACAATCACTTACATTTGCATTTCTTACTGTTAGTTTGTCACGATACATATAGCAGGCGAAAAAACAGCTTTCATTTGCTTGCCATTCTTGTTGTATTTTCCATATTTATTCAATCGAAAAACATTATCATACTCATCAGAGTTATTTATTGATTACAACCAAGTATATATGCAAATTTCTAGCAGGTAGTTTGTATGACTGAACATGAAAATTAGAAAAACAAACCTATTATTAACGCTTTTCAGTTATAATTAAATTGGATTGTATTTTTTTTATATTTATTTCCATAGGAAAAGTAGTTGCGGTGATTTACAAAGTCGTCTTAAAGTTCGAAAAGTATTAGGTGTAGGTGACACAACTGGCTTAACATGTAGTTCAAAAATAAGTCAAATACTTGGACAATCGGATAATGTAATTTTTCAATTGCCACCAAAACTTGCTGCATGGTTACTTTTAGTCACAACATTGTTTAGTTGTTTCACTGTGATGGTAATCAAGCGAAAGAACTACTAATTATCTTTATTAAAAAAAATTCTTTTTTTGTACACATATAGGGTCTTCTATGGCCATCTTATTTGCGTTTTATATTACCTGGTGATCTGGAATCAACTGCTCATCTCGCTACATCATATGCTTGTATGTCTAAATTTATTGTTGATATTTTATTTAAACTGAATTTTTAGTTTTAGCAACAATGTTGGGCTTAACACTTCGGTCGGGTGACAAGACATCTTTACAGCTTGTTCTTTTTTCGCTTGCTTTATTTCATGCTTTATCATTTTTAAGTAAGTCACTATTAATTCATTTATACGAAATCATCGATTTTACGCATTATTTACATTTAGTTGCTTTGTGGCTTCTTAAAACAAGTGATGCAAAACTAAAATCAATAATATCAGTTATTCTTCATTTATTTTGTTTATTAATAAATATACATTTTTATCGATCTATTAATCGAGCAATCTCACCATCATTACGTCATAATAAATTAAAAACATATTTTAATTCAATGGTGTCATTTCCAACGCAATCAACTACTGATTATCATACTGGACATGAATCTTCGTAATGGAAAAATACTGAAATAAATTAACAATTTTTACATGTATATATTTATAAATATATATATTTTTAAATACAATCGTCATATATCATTTTTACATATATATATATATATATAGTTTGTTGTCATGATGTGGATAAAAATGACATTTTTTTTCTTCCTTCCGCTTGCCACGACAAAGAAAAGATCTATTATAGAAATGTGAATGAAACAGAAAAAAAAGAATTATTAAACTTAGATTGACAGAAAAACTCTTATATACTACAGACTTGTTTACAGTAAAACAGAGAACAGGCCATTTAATGCTAAAAATATGCGAAAGAATAGTTCATTTAGTTTAATTGAATGTGACAAACTTGTTTATTTCTATAAAAATGAGAAGGATTTTTTTCGTCTTAGAAATCTTTTTACTCCTAACAAAAAGAAATCTCAGTAATCTGTCTTCAAAAATGAAATATGATATATCTTTTAATAATTCAGTATAATATGAAATCCTCTGGGAATAAAAAAGACATGTTTTTATACGAATATATATATTATAATGAGTGTCAAGTCTTTATGAATATAAACCAAGAAGAGAATTGCGTAATAGATTAGATTATAACTTTCATATTCTCATTTATATTAATAAACTGTTTTTCTCAATATAAACAATAATCATACTACTCATTAAAAACTTTGCGTGTATGCTTTCAAACAAAACACTGAATCAAAACTAAAGAAGGATTTTGAAATCAAATACGCATCATTATTTTTTGTAAGTAACTTGATAGAATAAAGAACGCAGGATGTAATTTGATCGTATAATTTCTCAGTTGAACGTGTTACAAATCAGACTACATGCAGATAAAAGTTGCTTATAGAAATATTCTTTATATTTCTGAATTATTTTTCAATAGTAAAATGAACCTTTATATAACATTTGTTTGATCATTTAGAAATGTATTTGGTGTCAAATTATGATTGAAAGATTATTTAAATGCTGAAGAAGATAATAATTAATTTTCTTTTTTTT